GGTCATTAGTCAGCATGGTAATGGAAGGTGATGTGGTGGAGTTCCACAGTCTAGTGATATTGATTTTGGCTGGAAAGAGTATATGGATTATGATGGTATGCAAATCTTGATGAAAATTTTCAATTTCAATATGTAGTAGTGCTAGTGAAGGGTTGGGACTGAGTCGTCTCCTGGTTATTTCAGAAATTAAGTGAAATACGCTATTCCAGAAGGATTTTAGGAATTTATAGGACCATGTTATATGTAATATAGATCCTGGGTCGCCACATTGTTGCCAGCATAATGAGGAGTGGTTGGGGTAGAATAGCGATAGTCTGACAGGTGTTAGATACCATTGATGAAGGATTTTTAGATATGATTCCCAGTGTGTGCTGCAGTGTGATGATTTATAGGTGAGGGTAAAGGATTTTTTCCATGCTTGTTCAGTGATGGGCTTGGAAAGAATCTTCTCCCAGTTTTTTTAGAGATGATGTTTGTAAACCAAATTTAATATTGGTTATGTGTGTATAGAAAAGGCTATAGCCTTACCCAGATGTTTGTGGTTGGGGAACAATTGATTGGCTCCATTAGGTAGAATGGTGGTAGAGGATAGATTATTGTGTTGTATGCAATGGGTGATGCTCATATATATAAAGTATTCTGTGTTTGGCAAAGAGAATTATTTTTGGAGGTTATGGAATGGAGTTAGTGCGATGTTTGTAAAAAGGTCTGCTAGTGTTAGTAGACCATGCCTTTCCCATTGAGTTAGATCTAGGCTTGGTATCAAGGAGTGTAGTGTATTTAGAGGGAGTATGACCTTTTTGGGATCTGTAAATTTGTTTCCCAGGAGATCTTCCATGCTTCTAGAGAAGCTTGGATGCTTGGATGTTTGTAAGTGATGATATTGGTTCGTAGGTTGTAGAAGGAGTAAGTTCTGAAGTTTTAGTGGATGTAGAAGTAGGGATTCCATTGTGGACCAGATTTTTTCTTGTGCCGGGTGCCACCAGAAGTATATCTGATCTAGTAGTGTAGCCATGTAATATGATCTTAGATGGGGTAGTTCAGTTCCCCCTCTGTTCATTGGACGTATTAGTAAGTTGGTGGCACATCTGGGTTTCTTTGATTCCCATATAAATAGGGCAAAGTATTTTTGCATTTTGCAGAAGAATGTGTTAGGGTTCGGTATGGGAAGAGTTTGAAAGATATAAAGGAGTTTAGGTAGTGTAGGCATTTTTAGAGCTGCTATTCGGCCTAGTTTGGACAATCCAAAGGTACGAAGATTGAGGAGGTCTTTTGGTATGGTTTGGAGGAGCAGTTTATGGTTTAATGCATATAGTCGGTCAGTCGTTGGGGTTAAGTTGATCCCTAGGTATGGGATAGATTGTTTCTCCCATATGAATGGATAATGTTTAGTAAGGAAGTGTTAGGTTTTAGTGAGTGTATGCAAGTTTAGAATTAGGGATTTAATTTCATTGAGTTTTTAATAAGAGACTTCTGTGTAGGCTTGAAGGATTTTGTGGATCGTGGGAAGAGATTGGAGTGGATTGGTAACCATTAGTATAATGTCATCTGCAAATAAGATGATTTTGTGTTCAGTGCTATGGTGTGAGATGCCGGAGAATAATGGTTCTTCTCTAAGTTTTGATGCTAGGGGTTCAATGAGAAGGGCAAAGACTATAGGAGATAGGGGGCATCCTTGTCTAGTGCCATTTGTGATGTTGAATGGCTTCAATAGTGTCCCATCAGTAAGTACTTTGGCTGAAGGGTAGGATTATAGAGACATAATGGCTGTTTGTATCCAGCCTGTGTGTAAAGGAATTCCCGTGAGACGGCTGGCGAATAGACGTGTGCATGCGCACAGAAATGCGTGATCACGCACGCGCACGTGCACACGCACAGCCACATGCACACCGAAGATTGGCGCCAGACGGACTATTTAAAAGGTGCCTCTGCCTGTGCTGTGTGCTGACTGGTCTTCAGCTGTTCCCCGTTTCCTGCTCATTCCTGTGTAATTTCTTTGTTGCTGACCCGGCTTGTTCCTGACCTGACTCTGATTACTCTCCTGCCTGATACTGGTTCCTGACTTCGGCTCTGCTCCTGACTTTGGCTTGCTTCTGATTTGGTACCCTCGCTGTCCGCCGTTGATTACCCTGGCTATTCCTTTGACACTGCTCCTGTCTCCCATCCCAGCTTCCTGCCTTGCTCTGGTGTACACCTGGTGATCTATCATACCAGCTCTGCATATTACTACTGTGCCTGAATCGGAGGTTCATCAGTCTTCCAAGGTCAACAACCGCAAGAGTTGCAAACAACTTCTACTGGCGCTCTTGTCCCCTTGGTCCCTAGACACCCTCTGTTCCACCTTCAGTGGGGTCAGGGCTAGTGACACAAGAGAGGCCGACCTAGTCATTTCAGTCTCCTATCAGGTACGTGACACTCTGATACAAAATTTTTGTAGAGCTGATTGCATGAAACCCAAAAGTATATGGTCAAAAGCTTCCTCTGCATCTAAAGATAGAAGCAGAGAGGGCGGTTTAGTAAGTTGGAGGTGATGTAGTAGGGAAAGTATTCTCCTGGTGGCATCTGGAGCATGGCTACCTGGCATAAATCCTACTTGGTCTGGGTGGATCAGTTTAGGGTGAAATGGGAGTGGTCTGTGAGCTATGATTTTTGCAAAGAGTTTTACGTCTGTATTAATTAGAGATATGGGTCTATAATTTTGGACATACTGGGGGTCTTTACTAGTTTCGGTATAGACATTATTATGGATTGCAACATTTCTATGGGAAAGGAGCCAAAATTGGCAGCATGGTTAAAGAGTTTGGCTAGGTAAGGGATAGTTCAGAGGCAAAATGTTTGTTATATTCTTTTGTATATCTGTCTCCTCCAGGAGATTTCTCTATTGGGAGTGTTTTAGTAATCGATTCGATTTCCTCAGTCGAAATCGGAGAGGGTATTTAGTTGGGAAAGTGAGAGTTGTGGTAGTTTAACTAATTGTAAAAAGTGTTGTATAGAAGGAGGGGTTGGTTGGGTGGTTTCCGGGTCATCTTTGAGGTTATATAAGGATTGGTAGAAGTCAGCAAAAGCATTTGCTATCTCTATTGGGTTTGTAGTTAGATTATTAGAGATTGGATGGTGGACTGAGGAAATTTTGGATCTGAGACGTTGAAGCTTAACTGTTTTAGCTAGTAGAGAGCTAGCTTTGCTGCTTAGGGAGTAATATTTTGCTTACATTTTTTGAAGGTTAAGGTTGTACTTGTATAGTAATAAGGAGTGCAGTTTGTTCCTGTTTATGGCCAGGAAAGCCGAGTTTGTAGGGTTTGGGGATTTTTTGTTAAGTTCCTCTTTCAGATTAATAGCGGTTAGGAGTTTGTCAATTTGGTGGCTCTTTTGTCTGTTGATCTGGGAATTAAATTTTTTATTAGAATTCCTCTCATGTATGCTTTGTATGTTGCCCAAAGCATGGTTATAGATATGTTGGGTGTGTCATTTGTTTAAAAAAACATTGGATGTGCTTCTAAAATATGTTTTCTGTGGTTAGAGTCCTTCAGAAATGTTGAGTTTAATCTCCATATGCGAGGGAGTGGAGAATGTTGTTGAGTGTCTATGGTGATAGTGATTGGGGCGTTGTCCAACCACGTTATGGTGCCAATCTCTGATAAGGTGATATGTTGCAGAGTCAAAAATCCCACATTTTTGGGAGTATTTTGTAGTATAGTATATACTACTATAGTATAGTATCGTGTCCCATAGAAAATGTTGAATATGAAAGAAAGTAAAGGTTTTCTGACAAATCTGTTGGGGTATACTCATTTATGCTGAGCACTGTATATCAGGGAGTGCCAAAGTATATAATGGATTTTTGAAAGTAGAATAATTTTAATTAAATCCATCCTACCCACTTTTCCCAGGGAAGTCTGAACCCCAGCTTCACTTTGGCTTTAATACGTTTGGTAAGGGATTTGGTATTCAGAGGCATAAAATCTAGAGATTAGTAAGCCTAAATATTTAATAGAACTGCTGCAGAAAGGGCAAGGAGGCTTCATCAGAAGTGAGCAGAAAAATCTATTTCTAATTAATTTGAAGACCATAGAATCTTCCATATTGGTTTGTAGACCAGTCAAAACAAAAGGGCCTGAATCTTCCTGAAGGGGTGGAGATTGTCTGCATGAAGACTTATTTTTTCTTCAAATTCACTAACACGTAGTCCCTTATTCTTGGGGTTGGTACACATATAAATTGCTAATGATTCAAAGATACAATAGTAGAGATAAGGGATAAGCTTGCCTCATTCCTCAAAATAGGGAAAGGGCTTGGGCACCCAGCCACAATCTGAGTGGATTGTATCCATTTGATAAAGCTGGAATGAAACCTATAGTTTTGGAAGTATTGCCACAGAAAATGCCACTCTACAGAGTTAAAGGATTTTGCAGCATTTGGAGTTGTCATCACCATTGTCTTCATGTGAAGTCTGGAGATTCACAAATAGCATTCAAGTACTGAATATCATTTTCTTGCTTGACATAAAGCCAGATTGCCACATGTGGTTCCCAAGTGGTGAAACCTTATCAAAGGAAGGTGTCTAACACATTTGCAAGGATTTCAACGTCCACTTTAAGGAGGGAAATGGATCTATATAACTCAGGAAAGGGTGGATCCTTTCAGACCTTGGGAATAAGAAGGCTTCTCTCATTCAATTAAGTAAGGTGATGACATCAAAGGCACAGGTCAAGACCTCCAATAGTTTTGGGGCAAGAATCTATAGATAGATCACATACACTATATTGCCAAACATATTGGGACACCCCTCCAAACCATTGGATTCAGATGTTCCAATCACCACCTTAGCCACAGGTGTAAAAAAAATCAAGCACCTAGGCATGCAGTCTGCTTCCACAAACATTTAAGAAAGAATGGGTCGCTCTCAGGAGCTCAGTGAATTCAAGCATGGAACTGTCATAGGTTGCCACCTGTGCAATAAGTCCATCCTTGAAATTTTCTTGCTACTAAATATTCCACAGTCAACTGTTAATGGTATTACACCAAAGTGGAAGCCATTGAGAACAACAGCAACTTCTGCACAGTGCTCAGAAGTCTCCAACTGTCTACAGAGTCAGTATCTAAGGACCTCCAAATTTCATGTGACCATCAAATTAGCACAACAACAGTGCATAAAAAGCTTCATGGAATGGGTTTCTATGGCCGGGCAGCTGCAAACAAGCCTTACATCACCAAGTGCAGTAGAGGGGGATTATGGTTTGGGTTTGTTTTTCAGGGGTTGGGCCCCTTAGGGAACTATTTCATGCTCCCAACTTTGTGAGAACAGTTTGAGGATGACCCCTTCCTGTTTCAACATGACTGCGCACCAGTGTACAAAGCAAGGTCCATAAAGGCAAGGATAAGCAAGTTTGGGGTGGAGGAAACTGAACATCACAGTCCTGACCTCAACCCGATAGAATATCCTTGGGATGAATTTGAGTGGATACAGGTCCTATATAACTTGCTGTAGAGTACACATTTGTGCCTGGCATTCTTTTGCTGGCTGATAGCTACAAAGAGTGGGACATTTGAAAATGTTTTATGTTTGACTGCTGGTGATTGCTGGTGCTTGTAGTTGTTTTATTTTCTTCTTTGGGTCTTTCTAAAAGCTTTTACTTTTTTAAATCCCTTTTTAATTCAAATAGTTTTTATTGAAAAACAAAATTTTTACCAGATCGAAGTTAAATGCATCAGTGCGGTTCACACTGAATATAGCAAGGTATATAATGAACATTTTCCCCACCACTAGGCTAGGGATGGCATCGCAATAGGCTTTGCTTACCTGAGAGGTATACTTGGTGTCGCGTGAACCAGGGTTGAGCAATGTATAACGTACAGAACAAGTGAAGGATAGTAGAGGATTATGGGGGGGAGAGGATGGGGGCGGGGGGTGAAGTGTATTGGGAGGAGAGAAGAAACTAAACACCAGTCAGTTGAAAGGGTTCTTGTGCAATAAAGTTATGTGAGCATCATTTTACAGTGCAATTGGGGTTTTGCAGCCATTTAGACCATTGGCATTCAAATTTTCGATATGAGGACTTATATAGTGCTGATCTCTTTTCCATCTCGCATTGACAGTTAAGGTCAATAAGGAGATCTATGATAGAAGGAGTGTTATGCGATTTCCATAATTTGGTGATATTGATTTTGGCAGCTGCTAACGTGTGTGTATGATGATGGTGCGGGAATCTGTAGGGATTTTCGATCCCAATGTGTAGGAGTGCGAGAGCTGGGTTTGGAAGTATTGGGGATGCAGTGATTGAAGAGAGTAGTTGAAACACTTTGTTCCAATAGGATGTTAGAGACTTACATGTCCACATTACATGAAAAAGTGAGCCTAGTTCTCAACATTGTCTCCAACATTTGGGGGAGTGTTGAGGGTAGAACAGAGATAGTTTGGTTGGTGTTAGATACCATTGGTGTAGAATTTTCATGTATGTTTCCCAGTGTGAGCTACATCTAGAGGCTTTATGGGTGATGGTAAAAGTTCTTTCCCAAATATGAGGTTGTATCGAGAGTGAGAGATTTGTTTCCCAATTAGATATAGAGGTGGTTCTTAATGTGAACTGGGCGTTGGTAATGAGCGTGTAGAAGGTTGAGATCCCTTTCTTGGGGTATTGTGGTTTTTGTAGGAAATTGATTGTAGCAGATGGGACTGTCATCATATGTGGAATAGTCGATTGTTGTAAGAAGTGCACTATCCGTATACAGTATATGTATAGAGATCAGTGTTGGGGAGATGAAAGTTTTCCTGGAGGGTTGAGAAAGAATCTAGTTTATCGTTTGTGTAGATGTCGCGGATGTGTGTAATGCCTTGTTTTCCGCAATGTAATAGCTGAAGAGATGGGATGATGAAATGGAGAGTTGCAAGCGGTGTAGGGATTGGTTTGGTGTCCGTATGGTTAAGTGCAAGAAGATCATACCAGGCTTGGAGAGAAGCTTGTATGCAGGGGTGTTTCGGTATGAGTTGGTGTTGATTGGTCTTGGAGAGGAATAAAATATTATCAGGCGAATGGCCGGAAAGGGGGAATGTTTCCATGGTAGTCCAAGTTTTTTCATCGGTAGGGTGCCACCAGAAATAGATCTGATCTAGCAATGAAGCAGTATAATATGATTTCAGGTGAGGGAGGCCAACGCCTCCCCTGTGCGTTGGGTGTATTAGGAGATTCATAGAGCATCTAGGTTTTTTTGAATTCCATAAGAATTTGGCAAAGACAGTTTGTAGTTTGGAGAAGAATATATTGGGGACTGGAATGGGGAGCGTGTGGAATATGTATAGGATCTTGGGCAAGATACACATATTTAGGGTCGCTACTCTTCCTAATGTCAAGAGTTGTGTTGTGTGGAGAGATTTGATTTCTTGTGGGATGGATTCGAGTAATAGTTTATGGTTAGAAGCATATAATTGGTCAGTAGTGGTAGTGAGTTTTATCCCCAAGTAAGGGATGCTATGATGCTCCCACGAGAAGGGGAACTGTTTAGCTAGTTGTTTTTTGGTCTTTTCCGAAGTATAGAGGTTTAGTATAGAGGACTTAGGTTCGTTTAGTTTATAATATGAAACCTGTGAGTAGTCATGTAAGTGTATCCAAATCGCTTGGAGAGATTTGTGGGGTTAGTAATCATCAGGATAATGTCGTCCGCAAAATAAACTAATTTTGTGTTCTTTTTTGAGGTGTGTAATACCTGTAAATGATGAGTCATCTCGCAGTTTGGCAGCTAGGGGTTCAATGAGTAGAGTAAAAATTATGGGGGACAAGGGACAGCCCTGCCTAGTACCATTAGAAATCTGGAAGGGTTGGGAGAGGGTGCCATTAGTAAGTACTCTAGCTGAGGGGTTAGAATAGAGAGATAGTATCGCTGATAATATGCAGTCCGTAAAGACAAATTTTTGGAGAGTAAGTTTCATGAATTGCCAGTGGATGCGGTCAAATGCTTTCTCAGCATCTAGGGATAGTAGTAGGGAAGGTTGTTTAGAGCTTGCAAGGTTGTGTAGTAGTGATATGATTCGTCTGGTTGCATCTGGGGCCTGTCGACCAGGGATTTAAATCCCTTTTTGTGTGACTTTTTAAATAGCATTTTTTTTCTTCCTTTCCTTGTCTTCCTTCAGTCTGCTAATTAAGGGGACGGGTTAATTGGTTACAGTTGATACAGGTCCTATATAACTTGCAATAGAGCTCACTCTGAGCTTGCTCATTTTGAGCTTGCCTGTATTTTGCTTGCTGGACATTTGACCAAGTGGACATTTGATAAGTGGAGTTAAAAAAACGGAGTTGAAAACAGGAGATTATAACAGGAGTCTACTAATCTGTAAGTGACAACTGATATTTCCTGTTAATATTGTAACTGGGATATGAGTGCTATTAGGGTTGAAGGTTTTGTATGTAGCAATGGAGCAACAGCTCCATTATGGATACTGCTGCGACAGATGTGAGCAGCTTGCCCTTCTGGAAACGCGTGTTAGAGATCTGGAAGAGCAAGTTGCAACACTCGGCAGAACTCACAACCTTGAAAGGGGTCTTCTGCTCTCTGAGCAGGTAGATAATGGGATTGATGTGGAGGGCGGAGGGGATAATCAGGATTATCAGTTAGGAAGATGGGTTACTGTAACGATAGGGAGTGGTAGGGGCTCACAGAAAAGAAAAGCTGCCCTGGGTTTGAGCACCCAAACAGATTGCCAAGTTAGGTGAAGATGTGGGGGTGGTAAGCTCAGGTGTGGCAGCCCTGGATGTCACTGCTATCCCTAACAGCCGGGAGGGCAGACCATCTGGGAGGGGTGGTGAGGGTAGTGCAGGAAGGCCTAGGCAGCTGGTGGTAGTAGGGGATTCTATAATCAGAAGGACTGATAGAATAATATGTCGACAGAATCGCCTCAACCTGAATGGTTTGCTGTCTCCCTGGTGCCAGGGTTCGTCATGTTGTGGACTGGGTTGATAAATTACTGGGAGGGACTGGGCATGACCCAGCTGTCTTGGTTCATGTTGGAACCAATGACAGAATACAAGGAAGGTGGAGGCTCCTTAAGAATAAATTTAAAGAACTAGGGCTGCAAGTTGAAGGGAAGGACCTCCAAGGTGATATTCTCTGAAATATTACCTGTGCCATGCGCAGCTCAGGAAAGACAGGGGGAGATTAGAGAACTAGAATGCATGGCTGAAGACCTGGTGTAAGAGGGAAGGATTTGGGTTTCTAGAGCACTGGGCTGACTTTTCATTGGGGTGCAACCTATATGCTAGAGATGGTCTGCACCTAAATGGAAGGGGGTCTGCTGTGCTAGGGGAGAGGTTTTTGGGAAGGCTGGAGGAGTATTGAAACTAGGATTGAGGGGGGAGGGAGAATTAGATTATAACGGGGTAGATAGATCAGACAGGGGTCAGTACTTATTGGTGGGTCGAATGGGGAAAGATGGGGGGAAGACTATGGCAGATGATAAATAGGTTCCCATATTACAAACAACCAATGGAATTGGAACCATATGTATGAAAATAAAAATATGTAAAATATGTGTGAACACGGTGTCAATGAATTAATGTGTTCACCAATACCAGAAGTCTGCCAAGCAAAATAGGTGAGTTGAAAGCTTTGTTGCATAAAGAGAACTATGATTTAATTGGTATTGCTGAATCTTGGCTTCATTCTTCGCATGACTGGACCATTAATATTCCTGGCTATGTTCTCTTTCGGAGAGACAGGGTAAATAGGAAAGGTGGTGGTGTCTGTCTCTATGTGAAAAGTGATCTCAGAGCGAGTGTGAAAGAGGACCTAGTTGATGTAGAATGTGATGAGGCTGAAGTATTATGGGTGGAACTGCACATGGGGGTGCGCAATACAAAGGTAATCATTGGAGTTTTCTTATAGGCCTCCCAGTGTTAATGAGGAGGTGGAAACTCAGCTCCTTGCACAGATTGAAAGGGCTGCAAGGGCTGGGACAGTGATAATAATGGGAGATTTTAACTACCCGTAAATTGACTGGAGTAATGGTACTACAGGAACAGGTAAAGGGCAAACATTTTTAAACCTACTACAGGACAATTTTATGGTACAGATCATAGAAGCCCCTACAAGGAATGATGCTCTGCTGGACCTGGTAATCTCAAACCATGCAGAGCTTATTACGAATGTCCATATAAAAGAACATCTGGGTAGCAGTGCCATAACAGGATTTCATTTATTGTTAGCTGTAAA